AACCCAGCATAGAACTGGGAAAATGAACAGCACACCCCAATCTTAGCTAAAGGAATATTGACAACTGATTGCTGCTAGACAAGGAAGAGCTGCTCTTTGTAAAACAAGGATCTCTAGATAGGCTGACTAGATTCAGTGGATGGACAAGCACTGGGGAATGGCTGGGGGTGCCCACAACACAGTGGACAGTAGCAGGGTTGACAGAGTGTCCTCTGTCATCCAACAGGGGTGCATCTGGGAAGTGGGTGTATAGATGAATAAGCTTGTTTGGGATGTTCTGTATGAAATACACACACAAAAATCAACAAATTTAAAAAATGAGTTATTTTTGAGGAAGAAGCACAAACATTTGCTTCATGTTAATTAATAGAGGTGAACACATTACCATTGAAATCTACCTGATGACTTTATATCCTTACTCAGGTGCCAAGGATCCGAGTGTAACTGACTGTGACTAGTAATAATCAGATACATAGAGAATAGAGGTGCATGTGCAAACATCTGTTAGAAGCATTAAAAATGAGTTTTTCTGTATGAAACAGTATATTTTAAAATGAAATGGAGATCTTTTTTAAAGGTTAAAACCTCAATTTTATGTTTTATAGGGTTTATATGAGTTCAATATTGTATAACTGTATTAATTGATCTGTGAACATAAAAATTTAGAGCCACTTTTGAAAGAGATGCATCTTTGCTCTGGAAATTGTTATTGAATATGTTAATACTGTAATGAAATGCTTCTTCTAATCATGTGATTATTAAGTAAATAATTAAAAAATTAAAGTATAGAGTGTTATGTACAGATGAGGAGTGAAATTTTTAATATTTGTAAATGTCTGTAACCACTGGACATTTCAACCAACCCATGAAGTTCCTTAATGCTCTGTACCATAGAGTTTGTAACCCACATAAGACATGGCTGTTTTAATTTCTATCATCAAAGATTAGCTTTTGTTCTTAGACTTTGTATAGATATCTTCTTTCTTGCCTTTAAAAAAACTCAGTGTGAGGTATTTGAGATTTATTTATGGCCTATCAGTAGCTCTTTCAATATTTTTAAAAAGATTTATTTAAGTTTTTATGCATATGTGTGTGTGACAATGTGAGTGTAAGCCACATGTGTGCAGGTGCCCCTGGAGACCAGAAGAGGACATTAGATCCCCTGGAACTAGAGTTATAGGTGGTCGTGAGCTGCCAAATGTGGGTGTTGGAATCTGAATTCAGGCCCTCTGGAAGAGCAATGGCACTTAACCACTGAGCCATTTTTCTAACCTGTTTTCCTTTTCATTGCTAGGAATTATCTCATTATATGACAATTCCACAGTTGGTTTATCAATTCAAATATTGATAGACATTTGGGTGGTTTCCCATTTCCGGTCCTTATGAGTAAAGCTTCTCTAAACAATCTGGCATAGTTTTTTCTCACACACATTTGTTGTCAGTTATATGAACTGTGAAAATTTTTTCCACAGTAAAGCTTGCATTTTCATTTTTGAACCATGTCTTTTAAAATTTTTATTTTATTTTTATTTTATGTGTATGAGTGTGTTGCCTGCATGTATGTGAGTGCACCCATGTTGTGCAATGCCACAGAGGTCAGAAGAGGGCTTCAGATTCCCCTGGAACTGGAGTTAAGGATGGTTCGTAGCCGCCATGTGGGTGCTGGGAAGAAGTTCTCCATTTTGATGAGATAGCTTCTTAAGATAATTGGTGCTTTTGATTGTATTGTTGTGAAATTATTGCCTTCTTGAGATACAAATACATTTTGTTTTCTCTGGAAGTTTAAGAGTTTTAGCTTTTGCTTCTAGGTCTCTGATTTATCATATTTATTTATTGTATGACTGTGCATGTCACATGTGCATACATGGTGTGAGTGTGGAGGTCGGAAGACAACTTGTGGAGTTGGTTCTTACCTTCTTCCATGGGGTCTCAGAGATCCAGTTCAGCTTGCCTGTGGCAGCAGAAGACTTTACCCACTGAACCATCTCAAGGTCTGTGATTTAATTCAAGTTAATTTTTTTGTGCAGTAAAAGTTGGAATTATTTTTTCTCATAAAATTGCTGCAACATATTTTTAAAAACTAGCCTTTAAACATTTTTATTGAATTTTTGTGCATTTCATATAATAGATCTTAATCAAATTTAGACCCCTCCCCCATCCACAATACCCCCAAAGCCCCACCCAACAGGATTTTATGCATTCTGTCATATATGTTAAGTCCTATGTGGTCAAGCCTCTGTACCCAGATGACCCTTGGTGCACGTTCATCCACTGCAGTTTAGTCAGCCTATCTAGAGTCATTCCCTTGAAAAGGCTTTTTTTTTTTAAATCCCACTGAATGTGAGACAGTAGTCCAGAGTCCACACATCTTATGATAAATATTTCTTGAACTACTTTGTATTATTTTATTCTTCTGTTATTGATTGAATAGCATCAGTGGAATATGATGTCTAATATGATGACTGTGGATGGACTATCCTTCCTGTGTTTGTGGGAATGGATAGTGGACATGCACTATTCTGCCTTTTTATGGTACATTTCAAAATAAAGCAGAGTTCAATTTTTTTCTTTTTTAAAAAAGGTTGTTTTAGTTATTATTTCATTTTTCCTTATATACTTAAGAGTGAACTTTGTACCAGGCCTGGTGGTGCACACCTTAAATCCTAGCACTTGGAAGGCAGAGCCAGGTGGATCTCTGTGAGTTAGAGGCCAGTCTGGTTTACATATTGAGTTCCTGGCCAGCTAGGGTTGCACAGTGAGATCCCGTCTCAAAACATCAACAAAACAAACAAACAAAAAGCAAATCAACTTTGTGGTTTCCAATATAGAATAACTCATTAGGACTTTTATTGAAACTGTTGTGTTAATATAATATAGTTGAGTTGTATTGATCAGTTTCAGGAAATTAACTTTGTAATGCCTCAGAAGTGTGTGATTTTTCACATCCTTTAAAAATTTATTCTGAATAATTTTTATATATTTTTGTGCTTTTAAAAATGGAATCATTTTCATTGAATCAATGCCCTTTAAAATTATTTATGGTTGATATATGCAAATTTATTTGATTTTGCATATTACTCTTGTGTCCCACGAGCTTACTTAATAGCTCTATTTAATAAATTCCTTTGAATTTTCTATGTAAAGATTGTAGCTAAATTTTAAGAGCCTATTAGGAAATAAGGCATTTTGATGTGCTGAAATATTGATTATGTGAGAATAAAAATGAACCAACAACTTTTACTACTTCTAAATTATGCGATAAATCTGAGGCCAAGTTTATATCTTTTAAAACTAGACAAGGGTCATCCATTAGAAATACAATATGCAGCATATACATAATTAAAAATTTTTCTAGCAACCACATTTTAAAAAGAAAATGTAAATGGATAGAATTAATTTTAGATTTTAACTTTATCTATTTTTTAAAATTGTGCCTCTGTGTGTGTGTGTGTGTGTGTGTGCATGTGTGCGTGTGTGTGTGTGTGTGTGTGTACACTTGCCTATGGAGGCCAGAAAACGTTGTGTCATCCATTGGAGCTGGAGTTACAGGCAGTTGTGAGCCATCTAACATGGCAGGTCCTCTGCAAGGGCAGTATATGCCCTAATTGTTGAACCATCTCTCTAGTCCCATAATTAATTTTAATATATTGTATTTAATGCAACATAATCCAAAAATTGTCATTTCAATATTATTTCAATATATAATGATGTAAAAATGAATAAGGTATTTTATAGTGTTTTTTTTGGTGCTCAGTGTTTTGAAATCTACAGTTTCAATTCATTTCAGTCAATGTCCTTGATTGTTTAGAATGTGCCTGGCATGCTTTGATTTCATTTCCTTTTCTCTCTAAGTTTCATCCTACTTAACTCTCAGCAGTCCTATGTGACTGATAATGTGATTAACTGTTCCCATTTTACAGAGGAATCAACTAACACAAAGAATAATGAATGTGCTCAAAGTCACATCATCAGCAGTGAAAGCAGGAACCCTTCCTCCATCTAACTTTAAGACTTGAGCTGAGTCACTGCCATTGCCCTGTTAAAATACTATTTATGCCGAGCGTGGTGGTGCACGCCTTTAATCCAGCACTTGAGAGGCAGAGGCAGGTGGATCGTTGTGAGTTCAAGGCCAGCCTGGTCCACATTGTGAGTTCCAGGACAGCTGGGGCTACAGGGAGACCCTTTCTCAAAAAGACCAAAAAAAAAAAAAAATACTATTTATAATAAAAATTGTATGAGATACAACAGTATAGATATTTCATAGGTTTCATATTACTTTAAAATTGTTTAATATATATGTATTTTGGAAAATATAAGTTTTACACATGTATATAATATACTTTTGGGGGGGTTCTTTATTTTAAATTATTTAATAACCACATACATAGAAGAAGCATTTCATTACATCAGCATTGACATATTCAATAACAATTTTCTGAGCTAAGATGAATCTTTTTCAATATTGGCTGTACATTTCTAGGGTTACATATGAATTATTACACTTATATAATCTTTTAC